GGGGTCAACTTGGCCAAGCACAAAGCTGTCTTCTAAACCCTGCCTGTTTTGTACTGCCAGCTGTTGCGGGGTTTGTTTGCCTGGGTTGGATTCCCCAGCTGCAGGAGGATGTAGCAGCTGTAAGGATGTAAGTCAGATGTAGCTGACTTATAGGCACACTATACAAAGAGAGATTTTCTGGTACTGAAGGGACAGATAGACTTTAGATGATGACTCACAGTCACCACATTGAACTTCTCCAGCTAAGTAGGTTTTGCTGGTGTTTTCCAGAACCCTGGCATTTCTCCCTACAGCCAGGCAAACAGACTGTCTTCCCTGAGGATGTGGGTACTGACAGTGTCAGGGTGCCCACCTACCTCATGTGCAGTAGGTGCAGTGGGATGGGGCCCTCTCTGTCACTTTTACACAGCTCATTACTCCTTCAAGCAGTAGATGCTGCTCACAAACTGAAACCAAAGGGCAAGGAAAACATCCTTGTAAGGACTGGCAGCTCTATACCTGGAAAATACCAGTATTACAGAGGTCCTGTCTGGTTACAGTCAGGCCTTCACTCCTGCTTCCCTCAAGATTTTGTTACTTCTTCCACTCCAGTAACTCAAACATCACTTTTTCTGGGAGCCACATATGTCCTTTCCCTCTTTCTTCAATCTTCTTCCTTCCTTGATCATCTGCGAGACATCCCCAGGCTGGGGAGTAATCTCCCCAAGTTCTGGGCGAGATGATCGAAGCAAGAGGTTTCTTCAGTTCCATAAACAGAATTTCCCTTTTGTGAATGTGCTCTCTCCCTGAAGTCCTACTTCAAAGAAACTTCCCTCCTAAAGAGGCTCTTCTGGTGCTACACCTTGTGCATCAATCAGCATCCAGTTTTTGACCCTTTTTCCCTTGTTCTCATTTCCCAAGTTCCTGCTTCTGAAGGTCATGGTGAAAAAGAAGAAACCAGTCAAGCTGTCCCTGCGTAAACCTGGCTTGTGATCTTTTGAAACTGCTCCAGCAACAGACGGTATGGCCAGGGGAGTGCAGAGTGGCAGGGCTGTGCTCAGCTGTGAGTACCTGGCAAGGACAAAATCCTTCAGGAGGAGCAGGTGCATTGCCTAACATTGCAGTACATGCAGGGACTTAGTGCAGCTGTCAGAAACTCAGCCTTTTTTCTGTGCAAGTATTTCTGCTGTACAGAGAGCTACGGAATATTTTTATCACTCTGAAATTGCCTTTGTGGGATAGTGAGTTAGTTCTACAAAATTCTCCTAGCTCAAGGCAGTATCCACACTGATGCTTGTCCCTTTTCTGCCATTGTGTCAGTCACCTGAGCACAGCCCCCAAGCCTCCTCTCTTCTCCCTCCCACCAACGTGGCTGTACTCCCCCAGGCACTTCAGCTGCAAGCTGTTCCTAGGAAATTCTGCTGTTGACAAAATCATGTACAGCTCTCACAGATGTTGGCCAAAATCCTGTTGGGCAATCCTCTTCATGTCATGTGCTGCAAGTTAGAGGGAGGCTGTTTCATGGGCTGCAAAACACAGGGGTTTTTCCATAGTGGCTTCTAGACAAAGTCATGTGTACACTGTGGCCTAAAAGGGACCCTGGCACAAAGCAGAAGGCACATCAATCTCACTGCACAGATTGGCCATAAGTGTCTGCCTCTTGGGTAGCTTGTGATTCAGTTTAATAAAGGAAGAAAGGAATGCAAGCGAAGAGTAAGCAGCAGAAAATAATGGAAAACGGAAGCAGCTCAGCATGACCTGAAGATACCTAAGCCTATGACAGAAAACATAGATCTTGCTTTGAATCCAAACTGAGGGGAAGAGTGGCTCTGGATATTGTGGACCCCTCTGTGATGCTTCCATTTTGTGCAGGAGGTAATACCAACCAGCACATCATCCCAGCCCTTAGTACACTATCTGGTGACAGTATGTCCTGACTGATACCCTGTAACTTCCTGAGCAAGCAATGCATTTCAGCTTTACCTTCTCTCTTTTCTAGGCAGACTTCTTTCTCCCTTTAACCTAGAGAGATGGCATTAGTTCTCATTTATACATATTACTGAATATTTGTATAACCCTGGCATTACATTCTGTGCCATACAGAATAGAAATACAGAACAGTTTGACTGGGAACTTAGCACTAACAAATATGTAAAGATTTGTAGTGAACAGACATCTCCTGTAAAGTGAATCAAATGAAATTTTGTCTATGTAATTTAGAACATCTAAGGCCAACTATGCTCACTGTAACCCAGAAGTCCACTCACAGGAGAGGAAGATGAAGTGCTAAAGCCTGAGCCACTTTGATACTTGGTGTTTGTTAGGTCACTGTACTGAGTTCTCCCTCCGGGGGGGTTTGATACAGAACTGAGTCAGTGACACTTCTGCCTGCTTGTATGTTTTGGCTGCTACTGCCCTTCCATGAATCTGCAGTCTGCTAGCTTTATCTGTTTGTGACATTCCAGGATTGTTTTCAGATTTTTGAACCCAGGAAAAAGGAAAACTGAAATGTGACAGAGACACTGTGTAGAAATGGAAGGGACTAGGGGGTCCTCACTTCTTAAGAGGCAAACATATGTAGTGGAATTTCTTGCAACTAACAGCTTCCTATAATCATTGCAGTGGAAAGTCAATCTTTGAAAAGGAAGCTTGAACGATTCTGCCAAAAACATCACAACAAAGTTTTCCAAGTTTCCAAAATATGACGGAAAACATCCTTTGGGGTCAACAACTTGAACTGCAAGCCCTTCCCAGGGCTGTGACCAGAAACACAGAAAGATGGATGCATTCCAAGAGAGGCTGCTGGGATCCGAAGCAGCACGGGAAGACGCCCCAGGCGAGCAGCTGTGGCGTGGGGCGCGTCATTGTCGCAGAGCGGGTGGTGCTGCCATGGCCCGGGCACAGCTCAGCTCCTGGCTGCTCCTGTGTGTGTTTGCTGCATCCCAGAGGCTGGCAGGTAGGGAGCACATCTGTTAGCGACATGGCCCCTTGGCTTGGCAAACCTTTGTGCAATGCCATTTGTGTGATGCTTTGCTGCTCCTCCAAATGCTGCTCCTCCAAATGCCTGGCCCGAGGCCTCAGGCAGCTGCACTGGCATGGGATAGAGCTGGAGTCCAGCTGGGGGGGTTTTGCACTGGTACATCCTTGCAGGTTGAAGACCTGCTGCTGTGTTTGGTGGCAAGGGGAGGATTTTCTTGGGTCTCCGCTGAAAAAATAATCTCCTGCAATACTGTTTGTGGATTTTTTATATGCTTTTTTGGAAACAAAACCCCACCCAACCCTGTTGAGTGATAAAATAAGTAAGAATTTTCCCTTCCCCAGAGGATACTTACGTTTTTATTCCAATACATTATCTGTTATGCTTTGTTACATTTTTCTCTATTCAAAAATCTTCCACTGTGTATATTTATGAGGCAGTTACTAATAAGGGCAGTTTGGCACCTATTCAGCTGATGCACTGACTTTGCAGCTGGTCAGACATTTCTCAGGAGAGGGTTCTGTGAGGTGGGAGCATCGGTTACTAGAGACAATACCAAGCAAATAAATTTTCAGATGATATAATGCTTTCACCTGAGCTAAAAGCCTTGCTGGTACATCTGTGGAGGACTAGAAAAAAGAAGCTACATCCCTGCTCACATTCCAAAGCCACAGCTGGCTTGGATCACAGAGCTTGCAGCTGTGCAGAGAAACAAACACTGCAGGCTGCCGGCTGGCAGTGCACTTCTCCAGAAGCTCGTGCATCTCCCTGAAAAGGTCTAATCAAAAATGGGGATTTGGAAGTGTTTTTTTGTAGCAGTCATCACACGTGTGTAGTACTAAATAATTTTTCTACTTTTTATATGCTCCTGCTGACTTTAACTCTGGTATTCAATGTAAATCCTTACTTTTTTTTTTTTTAATATATGTATGAAAAAGCTTTCATCCATTTAAAAATGAAAAAAAAAAAAAGCCCATAAATATATTGGAGAGCTTACTATTTTATATGAGCTTTTTCCATTTCATATTTCTTAACCTGAGGGATGAGCCTCTAAGAAGTAGAAGAGGGTCTTGGCTACCTCATGACACAGAGGAGGGAGGGGATGCAGCCTCTCTTTCACAGTCCTGGACCAAGACTGCTTATGTCTCCTTTTTCATACACACAAAGAAAGAAATAGGTGCGACAGTTAAACTCTGTAAGTATTAGGAAATGAAAAATGAACAATTCTTAGGATTAATGTGACTTTCATATTCAAAAACTGCCATTCCTCTGGCCTCATATCCATTTTCCTCAGTTTTACATGATGTCATATGTCCCAGCAAGTAATTAGCTGGACATCAAATGAGCCATAATGGATCTGGCAAGGATTCTTTTATCCTCACACTCTTCCAGCAGCAGAAGCTTAAGGAAGAAGTAGATAACCAGGATAAGCATCAGTTTCTGTTTCTAGCAGCATCTTGAGGAGCCTGCCAGCACCCTCCTTTCACTGGGCAGCATTACTTTCTCCAGCAATAACTGCTAACCAGCCAAACCCCATTGGCTCAAACCCCATCCATTCTTGGTGTGAGAGTCTTCCTTGCTGCCTGTCAAAGCAGTGCCTTGCTGCTGTATGCTTTAGCTCTGCTGGCAGCACTGAGGGCCGTGATATCCAAAACCTCGCCTCAACCACTGCTTCTCTTAAAAAGCTTGTTTTGCTTATCAAAATCCCGTGGTCAGCATCTGTCATATTTGGCAAGCTGAGTGGTAGCTCAGGAATGTTGAAGATGTTATTGACAATCAAATGGCAAAACCAGTAAACATGAAGGTCTTGTGCTACCAAGCTCTGTCTGATGTTTTCCAGATGAACATCCTCACAGCGGCACCAACAGAGCCCGTCGTGGCCCAGAGGACGCTGGCATCATGTTAGAGGTCTCCTGAGCACTGGGGGCTCTGGGCCGAGGCGCTGTTAGTGCCCACGCTCCCACCTGCCTGCACGTAAAAACTCACCTGTTCTGTTTGTTCTCATCCCTGCCGGATTTCAGGACCCCCGGAGAACGCCTCGGCGATGCCCAATGGCATTTGTGTCCCCTGGCACTGCGGGGCGCCGCCCACGGCGGCTGTGCCCGCGCCGGGACAAGGGACCGGCCCCGCTGGGCTTGGAGGCGGCCGCACCGGGGAGCGGCTGCGGCGGGGCTGCGGGGGGACGGCGGGGCGGGAGGCGGAGCTGCACAGCGGGGAAACGGGCTGTGGGGATGCTCGGAACCGGGCTGTGGGGCTGGCAGAGAAGGACGCGCACTGGGTCCCTCACGGCCCCGCCGACCCGCCCGAGGTGTGCTCGGCGGCGCTGCGTTGGGCTTTGCCCGCAGCGCGTCCGGCAGCGGTGCAGCTGTGCGGGGCTTTCCGTGACAGCGCTGCCCCTCTCTTCCAGATGCTCTGGGGAAGGCTGGATATCCAGGCCAACGGGACAATCCGGCTGCGGGATGAAGAGCTGGCCTCCCTACGCCCGGCACGGCGCTTCCTGCAGGTTTTAGAGGAGGAAGTTCCCAAAACACCGGCAGAGATTGAGCAGCACCTGAGATACTATTCACTGACCGACGCTCCCTTGCCTCCGACAGAGTTCGACCGTCTCCTTTTCACCAGTGTTTACAGTGCCTATCAGGTTCGCTCCATGCAGGGTCTGGATAAATCCCCCTGGATTGGCTTTTTCTCTCAGCTGGTTGATGAAATCTTCCGTGACCTGTGCAAGGGGCTCTGCCCTGCAAATACCACTCTCCTCCAGGCTTCCTGGCCTTGGAAGGAGAAGCCTTCACATTTAGCATCCCTGAAACATTTCTATCGCTCTAACCTGGCCAGGACCAAGAGAGACACCTAATGAGGGAACCCCCGTAGGAAAGGGCACACCTGGCTTCAGCTGCCTCCTTGGTTATTTTCAATGTTTTCCACAGTGTGCAGGACTTTCAATAAATATGCCACACCCTTTTGTCCTGCTTTCTGCACTGTGCTGACAACCCCCTCAGGATTTATGCGCAAGCTTTTATTTTTAAATGAAAAAAGGACAAAAGTGCATTTCTCCCTTTTCTGATTTTTTGCTAAGTGAGCTGTGCTGAATGGGGCAGTGCTATTTAGATGTCTTATCTATCTTGATCACTGATGCTCAGGAGAGATGGCTTGGAAGTATTTTTCTAAGATATTATGCTGGTGTCACAGCTGACTTCCTTTCAGATAATTCAGTTCACTCTCCTTATATTCTCACTGTGGTTTCAGACAAATACAAGATCTTTTCTCCTCTCCAGTAGCAGCTAAGCAGGTTTTGTTGTGTTTCATTATATAGGTCACATATTTAATTTAATTTTTCTCCTCATGTGGCATCATATTTTATGTGTCAACAGCAATTTCCCATATCACGTATTAATTTTTCTTTAAAAGGCAACCTGAAAAGGTATGTATTCCATGAAGCTTTCTAGTGTTTGCATATCATATTTACACATATACACAGCTTTGTTTCAGTTATCGTTTTGGAATATACTTCCTGAAATCTCATTTAAATTCTGAAGAATCCTGACCTAGTTATTTCTTCAGCAGATTTTGCCTTTCTTCTATAAAGTTTTTTTTTTTTTGTACAGCTGTGGCATTTTACAAGCCAAACATAATAAACACATAGTCTCTATCAGAAATATAATTATTTTACAAAAAGACATCATTAACATTTGTCTGTCTTAGACACTGTGGTGTGGAATTAGATAAATGTAATTGTCTCCTCAGGAGGGTTTTGATTTTGATTCTTGTTGTTTCTAGCAGATTTCCTGCTGCACCTATAGGTACATAAATTTCAAACGTTCATTGCATGTGCTTAGACAATGGGATCCATAATTCCCTTTCTATCAATATAATTTTTCCATGTTAGACAAAAGAGGCATGTGTGACCTTCAGAGTGGGAACTGCTAGTTTCTGACCTAGTTAATCTTATTCCAAGCCATTGTAGCCCAACAGATGGAGAGGGAAAATGGTAAGGCAGGAACAAGAAGCCTGGAAGCAAGATGCTCCAGACAATGGCTTTAGAGGTCAGCTAAGGGTTTTGACAGGAGGTAGATTTAAAGCAGGTAGATTTGTTGCTGGATTTTTGTTTTGTGTGCTTGTTTCATTTTGGTTTGTGTTTTGGGGTTCTTTTTGTTTGTGTCTTTCTTTTTCACCCCAAATGGTATATTAATTAAAATTAGAATTTAATTGAAGTAAAACTTCTTGTCTTACCTTATGCTGTTTTTTTACATACTTCAAATCTTTACTCTTCATCCTTTTCCCAAATATGCCCCAGTCTTTAATGCCTAGGACATGTATGGAGTGACAGAGGCAGTGAGTTTGAGCAGAGTATCATCAAAAGGCTGAGCTGAGATGGCAGTGGTGCATAAAAATACTGTATTGCTGTAGAAAATACAGCCTGAGCCATACAAATATATGGAAAAATGCGGAGTGGGTTGGCTTGTGACTCAGATGCCAACACACTGCTTTGAACTCGGGATTTTGTTAGGAGCAGTTTTAGAGCATTGCTGCCTGTTGAACGGATTATAAAGTACACTGAAGTGATGCCATGAAGCTATGTACATGCTTAGGATGGTGCACGTTTGCAGTTTATGTATTTTTGGGATACAACCAGGGATTTAGCTCAACTGAAACAGCAGCAGTGGTGCTACGATGAAGTCTCCTGTGCTCCCACTACCTCCTCAGCGGATCCCGCCGGCTGCCCACCCCTGTTTGTCAGACTGTAGGAACACAACAGTGCCCACTGCAGCCACAGCAGCCTCTCCACAGGGCAAACTCTCGGTGGAACTCGGCACGTACAAAACCACTGGAAATGGATGCTGGACACATCACCCACGGTTCCTCTGACCCCGCCTGCAGGAGGCTATCAGTGCAGCACGTGGTGGGCCAGCAGCACCCTTGTGTTCAAGGGGCTCATTTCTGGGGAAGGTAACGCCCCTGGGGTCAGCAGAACCACTGCTGGGGTGGTACTACTCACACTTGGTGTTATGAGCCTGCTCCTGATCCTAATCTTTAGAGATTTAAAGACAGATTTCTTATTCTTCTTACTTACCTTGCTTCTGGGCTTTCAGAGCATGTTCCATTCACAGATTTGAGCCCTTATCTTTCACTATAAGATGCCTGCTGTTTTGTTTGCTTCTAAATGTATTCTTTACATTAAATGAAAGTTGAGATTCTCAACCACACCTTCTTGACTTCATCTACATCAGATAAAGAAAAGCACAAACCACTGTGAAACTTGCAATAAAATCATAAGAGGTACCATCCCTTCACACACACAAGTGATTAAAGAGTGTACACAGACAGACTGGCTCAGTAACACATCCTCAGCTCACACAATTACCATGCTTCTCTCTCACCTGAGTTGATACCTCAGCCAATGACAAGCACACAAGTCTCACAAAGTAGCATAAATTCCAAACTGAGAACATTCTCATCTTTTGTATTTTTATTACATTCCTTTTCATTACACTTATTCCCTCCCTGGATAAATAAGGAAAGTCACCACACCCTTTTCTCTCTGGATGCTGGAGATCTGCAGTATCATGACTGCAGTAGTTCTCTGGTCCTCAGCATCTCACTACAGTGCCCCACCCCTGCCCCAAAACTACCTCATGCTTTTATGTTAACTCAAACACCAACACGGGACACACAGCTACAACCCCAAAGGCCTCTCTAGGGACGAATGGCACACACAGCAGTGGCCCTGCTGACAGGGCACAAGTGTGCAGCGTAAGGAAAGCACTGGACACATGACAGCATGCTCAAAGCAGAAGATGATATTCAGAGAAGCTATACTCAAGTTCATGGCACCTTGGCTCTTCTTATGCTCCTTTCACATCTGCATTTAATTGTTTGACCCTTGAGGTGAGCTGGCACCTGGAAGCCACTTTGGCTGAGCCTCTGAATAGATGAGGAAGCCTGTGAAGGTGATGTACTTGCCATGGTTGCTGTAGGCACCATAGCCATCATGCTGATGGCTGTAGAGCCAAACAGTGTCCCCATATTGCAGAGGCAGCATGATGCTCTGGCTCTGCATCTCCCGCCTCTTGGAGTGGTTGTCATCATAGATCATGGCCTGCACCTCGTTGTGGTTCTTCATCAGTTTCACTGACATAGTCTTAAAGGGCATTTTGCCAATGGTGAAGGAGAAATAGTATGCACCAGGTATACGGCATGTGAAGATGCCAGTGGAGGAATTGAAATCTTTTCCAATATTCACAAACTCTGTATCAAATGTGATTGGCTCATGCTGGGTTTGCTTCTCATCTGTCCCCAGGAGACTCTGTGAGCGGGCAACAGAAAATGCAGAGCGAGGGTCCTGCACCCTCTTTGGTTGGTCAGGCAACACGTGTCGCTGTGAAGCTTCATTCTGCTCTCTGGGAAGTTGCTGAATTGTGTGAGGGTGTGGCCCCAGCTCTTGAGAGTCAAGAGCATTCTGGAAGAAGGCAGAAGTGTCTGGATAGATCAGGTAGCCATTGAAAGTTGTATAGGGCCCCACATTGCTGTAAAGAGCGTACTTGGGATCTCCATGTAAACGCAGCCACACTGTGTCCCCGTAGTCAAGCTGCAGCATGGCACTCTGGCTGGCCACCTTGCGCTCCTTGCGGTGATGTTCGTCATACACAATTACCTGCACCTCATTCTTGTTTCTCATCAGCATGACAGACAAGTTTTTCTTTGGGTATTTCCCAACGGTGAAGGAGAAGTAGTAGGCTCCTGGGATCCGGCAGCGGAACAATCCAGTCTTGGGGTCAAAATCATTGCCAATATTCACGTACACTTTGTCAAAGGTGATCACCATCTCAGAGCTCCCTTCCATGCTGCTGGTTCTGGCCACAGAGAAAGCAGAGCGAAATTCAGTACTGGTGTCTGCTGGGAAGCCATCTGTAGGAAGAAAAATCATGCAGCAAAAGAGGCCGAAGATGATCTGAACATTCAGTGTCATCATTTTATCTGGAAGAAAAAAGAAGCATATTTTAGCAGGAATAGCATTAATTTACAGCTCACACATGAGCTGAAATCCAGACTGAATATTGTTAAATAAACATGAAGAGCTATGTCCAAATATTGAAAAATTTCCAGTGTGTTCTCTGATCAGTGTATGGGACCACACCATAGTTCAGTTCCCAGCTTCACTTTTATATTTTCCTAGTGAGAGCTGGTCCTTTTTTAACCTGTACTCATGGAAAGAAAAAGCATCTTCTTTGCAGCTTGTCTGCAAAACACCATGTTGCTCACACTGCAGAGGGATCTCAGAGCCTGCTGGGGATTTGCCAGAGCTCCCTTTTGTTGTGCTTTTTTTATTTATAAGACCAAGGATGAAACAAAGCCCTACACAAACCCTGTATTATACAACTGAGATGCAGCTGAAGGGCAGGGAGAAGAGGACATATGCTCTAGAGATTCCCATGCAGATGCCATTGCCTCACAGTGCAGTAGTTGTTTCACAGGATGTGGAAGCTGGAAGCCAAATAAGTTGTTAGATTCCATTATTCCAACATGAATCTGTGAAAAGTATAAAGAAATATGAAGAAGGAATGTCTATGGAAGGAAGACAATGGAGAAAATTGCTGAAATAATAAAAAATAAGAAGGAAACCAAAATGGTAAGTAAAAGGAAAGTTTCCTAAAGTGTACAATTCCTGAGAGAAACTGATGAACCAAAAATGGCATAAAGGAAACAACTCCCTAAATGGATAACAAACCAGACATAAAAACTTCTTTGACCCCTAAAAAAAGTTAGGAGCTAATAGGATTTTCTGCGAATTTTTTTTTTTGGACTGAGGCCAAAAATTATCTATTGGCGCTTTCAGGCTGGAAACAAAACTGCCAGTCATTCCAGTGAGAAGCTTCTCTCTCTGTCACCTCTCTGTGCTTATTAGAATATCATTTAGGCTAGGAGGTAACTGCCTGGTTTGCAGTCTGCTCCATCTGTCACCCCCAAACTGGTGCCTTGCCAGCCTACAAACAATGAATTCACAGACCAGCAGAACAGAAGCAAAACATGCAACTCATTGAAGGGGGAGGGTTGAAGACCAATCCTGCATTAAAAAGGATAAAGGGGTAAATATTTGAATAATTTGAGATGGCTTAGTACTAGAAGTAAAGCAGACAGAATGCACATAGT